CCCCGTCCCACGTTCCCCCGCTGAGGCCCGCTGGCGCTTTCTCTGCAGAGGAGATGGCCACGTACCTGCGCTACGTGCGGCGCCTGGACTTTTTCGAGAAGCCCGACTACGATTACCTGCGGAAGCTTTTCACCGACCTCTTTGATCGCAGCGGTTTCGTGTTCGACTATGAGTACGACTGGGCCGGGAAGCCCTTGGTAGGTGGGGGGACCCTGTGTTGGGGGCGGGTGATCGGGGCCGCCCAGGCCCCTGCGGCCCGTCCTGAAGCCCCATTGCCCCGCAGCCAACACCCATCGGCACCGTCCACTCTGACCTGCCCTCCCAGCCGCAGCTTCGGGACAAAGCCCTGCTGCACAGCAAAAACCAGGTGAGAGCCAGGCCGGGGATCTTGGCACCCGGGATGCGTGGGTGGCTGGTGTGACGGCCCCTGTTTCCCCAGGCGCTGAACTCCACCAACGGGGAGCTGAATGCAGACGACCCCACGGCTGGTCACTCCAACGCCCCTATCACGGCCCCCGCAGAGGTGGAGGTGGCCGATGACACCAAGTAAGGGTCTGGATGGGGGCTCTGGGGAGGTGGGGGACTCGGGACCCCCGTCGTTGGCCTGGGCTGCTTCCACCCCCTGCCCCCTCCCCCCAGGTGCTGCTGCTTCTTCAAGAGGAGAAAGAGAAAATCTTTGCAGCGGCACAAGTGAGCCCTGGCACATGCAGCGCTGTGAGCCTTCTCCGGTGCGGTCCCCGGGGTCACGACCTTGTCCACAAGGCCCTTGGGGCCCACCCACTGCGGCCCAGGGCCGGACTCTGACCCGAGCCAGGATGCAGACTGCAGGGGCTGCGGGCCTCAGTCAGCCCACTGGCACCCACCCCTGGGATGTGGGGTCACTTCATTCACGTAAGGCTTTGGCCGAAATTTTTACACTTGTGTCTAGTCCTCCCCTCCAAGAGCATTAACTATTTAAAACAAGAAAAAAAAAGGAAAAAATCAGGCCTGTCCTGCCCCTGCCCCTCCCGCCCGTCTCTGCTGAAGTGAGTAGTGTCGTCCTGGAGGCCCGCCAGGCTGTGGCTGGCCCGCCCCCGTTAGCCTCATAAAGTCCAGCTTGTCTCCCTCAATCCAAAGGCCATTTTCTCGAGGGGGGGGTAGACCCGGCCTGGGAGGGGGCGTTGCAGGTCCATCTTGCTTGGACCCACCCAGGAGCGGCACAGGCCTTCCTGCCTGGGGTGAGGCTGTGCCCTGGGCCTCCCCCAAACCAAAGGGGAAGGTGGGGGTGGGGCCACGGCCATGGCTGGAGCCAGCCCCCCAACCAAAATGCTGCACCAAAGCTCGGGCGCCAGCAGGCATGGCCACCACAGCCTCTTCCCAGCGCAGCCTCCGCTGGGTGGGTGCTGCTTGACGCACCTGCTCCTGGAGGCTGTGCCCAGAACCTGCAAGAGGTGGCTGGCTGTCGTCACCCCTGCCCAGCCATGCTCGGGCCACCTGGGCCCTGCTGCCTCAGGCGTGTGGCATGTGGTTTCTGGTCTCTGCTCTGCCACCTGGCAAAGTAGCAGGAGACAAAACGCCTTAAAGCCCCCAGCCCAGCCCCACAGGTTTGTGTGCGGGGGGCATGGGGGCAGCCATGGGCCATGGTGGGGGTATCCCCGGTGGGGTCCCCGGGAGGCTGCCAGGTGGAGCAGATGCAGCTGTGGCCTTCCTGGGGCAGTGGTCATGTGAGTCTAGTCCTTGCTTTACAAAGTGTACAGAAATGGCATTTACGTTTCTCTGATGCTTCCTTGAAGCCATAGAATGTAGGGGCTTTTTTAAAAAAATAAAAAATGAAGCCAACCCCAAGTGTGGTGTCTGGTCATTCCGGGGGGCTTGGCCCAAAGACGGTCAGCTACTGAGACAGCCACTTCCTTCTTGTCAAGGAAGAGTTGGAGGGGGTGATGAGGCAGAGACAGCCGTGGTTGCGGGAGACCCGTGTGCACACTGTGAAGCAGGTGGCGTTGTGTTTGGAAGAAGCTGAGCACAACTGCTGAGTGCACGAGCTGAGAAAGGAGAATTCACATGCGTGCAAGCTGGCTCTATACAATGTGTGAGGTCCCCCGTCTCGGGCAGCCTGCCGTGGCTGCCCCCATCACGGTTAACAGAGCAGAGAGAGATGGATGTCCGCGGTAGGTCCTGAACAGAGCCCACACCCACGCTCCAGAGGAACAGAGGGCGGGAATGGCCCCCAACTGCTGGATGGGACCCTAGCCTCCCGGCCACCCGGACATCTGCAAGGCCTATGGGAAGTTGAGGCAGGAGAGGGCAGGAGCTGACAGAAAGGGGGGGACTGCACCCCAGCCACCAAGGAAAATGCACCCTGTGTTGACATGGAGCAGAAGAAAATACCAGGATTTACTCCAATAAGCGTTTGAAGGTAGGACAACCATCTTGAATCAGAAACTCAAAAAGTGAGGACAGAAATGGACAAAAACCAGAGAGAACCTAAAACAGCTGGTTGAATTCAGGAAGGAAATGTACGGGGAAAAAATGGTTTTAGAAATGAAGAAATCGCAAGGTACCCAAGACTCCCGTGAAAATTTGAGAAAGCGCATCAGAGGCAGAAAAATAACCAAGAGGAAGAAGAGAGGTGACGCCAAAGCAAACACTGTCAGCCAGAACGGTGGGGGACATGGAAGACGGGCCTAGAGGGGGCTGCTTAGAGTCTTTGAGGAGGTCGAGCAGAATGAGTGTTTAAAGCTGTTCTCCAAGGAGGGCTGGCCAGTGGCTGGGTTGGAGTGCAGCCTTTCAACACCATGGTCACGGATTTGGTGCTGGGCAGCCGCCAAAAAATATATAAATAAGTAAATAAAACTGTTGTCCAAGGAAACTTTCCAGATAGAGGAAAAAGACGAGTCTTCACATTGAATGGGCACCAGCCTAGAAAAACAGTTTGATTCGAAAGGTAATGATGGGCTGGCTGTTTAGCTCACTTGCTTAGAGCTCAGTTGTATTAATCTGATTCTGTTGCTTATAACAAAATACCTGGAACTGGGTGATTTATTTTTAGAAAAATGAAATTTATTGCTTACAGTTTTGGAGGCTGGGAAGTCCAAAGTCCAGGGGACAGATCTGGTGAGGGTCTTGGTGGTGGCAACAGTGACCCAAGGATTTCATGGCAGAGAGAGAGAGCTCCTCTTGCATTCTCCTTTTAAAGCCCTCAGAACCACACCCCTGACCACTGTTATTAGTCCGTTCACTAGGGCACAGTCCTACAATCTAATCACCTCTTCAAGGGCCCACCTTTCAATTACCATAATAGGATTTCCCACCCTCTAAACAGTCTAAGTTTCTAATACATAAAATGTGGGGGACACAATTCAAGTTTTGATGAGTTTGGGGGAGATATTCAATTGACAGCAGCGTTGTTGTAACACCAATGTCAAGGGATCAGAACCCCATATTGACCAGCTGCCAAAAAAAATGATACTCTTCAGGGCAGATAGGTAATACAATTTGCAAAGCCTAGAGAATTTGGCTGCAGACTTCACAACAGACCTACAGAGCAAAGCCTTGTCAGTGGCTCAAGCGTCAACTGAGGGTCCTATCTCCAGCCAGGCTGTGCCTCACAGGACAAGGCTGCAGGAAATCAGTGTGCCACTTCCAGGAACTGAGGAATGGTGAAGCCACTGGTTCTTCCCAGAAGCTGCCAGGAGGAGCTTTCCCTGACAGCTCACAGGGAAAAAGAAAGAAAGTGGGTGTCTAAGACCAAAAAGCCAGGATGAGGGGAGAAGACCAATGCACAATTGTTACCCATTGTAACAGAGTAGAAATAGTGCAACTGTAAAAGTGACGTAAGAAGGTGACAGTAAGATGAGCCTGCTGGTGGTTTGCCAGGCAACAGTTTGTTGGCAACAAGTTCTGTCAGATTTTAGTTGCCTGAAAAATTGTTTCACCTTCATTAATGAGGGATGTTTTTGCTAGGAATGCAATTCTAGGTTGACGGGTATTTGGGGTTATTTTTGCATGTCAGCATTTGAAATGATATTTCCTTGTTTTTGTTGAGAAGTCAGTTGTCGTTTCCTTCAAAATAATGCACCTTTTTTGCCTGACTGCTTTTAAGATTTTTTTTTTTTTTTTAATCTTTCATTTTAAGTTACTTGACTGTGAAGTGTGGCTTTCTTTGTATTTATCCTGCTTGGTGTTTGCTGAGCTTGTTGGATCTGCAGATTGATGTCTCTCATCAGTGGAAAATTTCCAGCTATTATCTCTTCAAACATTTCTTCTGCCCCGTTTTCTCTCTCTCTTCCCCAGGACTCGCTATCTACATGTAGGACCATTTTATGTTATCCCATAGATCTCTGGTACTTCCTTAGGAGGTGGGACGGAGAAATGTTGCTGGGTTCGAGTGCCCAAACCGTGTATCGGTGCAGCCAAACATAAACAAAACTTTCGCTGGTGTTTGATGCCTTTAGAATTCTCCTCAGAAAGCACTTTATTTTATTTATTTAATTATTTACTTTTTTTTTTTTAAAAGATGACCGGTAAGGGGATCTTAACCCTTGACTTGGTGTTGTCAGCACCACGCTCAGCCAGTGAGCGAACCGGCCATCCCTATATGGGATCCAAACCCGGGGCCTTGGTGTTATCAGCACCACACTCTCCCGAGTGAGCCACGGGCCGGCCCTGTTTCTTTTCCTATGTATTTTCTCTCTGTGTGCTTCAGTTTGGATAACTTTATTTTTGATCTGTCTTTGGGTATACTAATCCTCTCTTCTGTTGTTTTGGCTGCCCTTAAATCATCCAATAAATTCTTTTCAGATATGTTTGCATTCTAGAATTTCCATCTCTCTCTCTCTGGGTGTGTGTGTATATATATCTATGTATCTCCGTTTCTCTTTAGAGTTTCTATTTCTCCATCTTTCACTCTTCTACCCCATTTTCCTCTGTATTTTCTAACATACTCTTAATAGTGATTTAAAAATCCTTGACATCTAATTTCAACATCTGGCTGGGTTTTTTGTTTGTTTCCCTCCTCTTGGTTATGCGTTACATTTATCTTCTAGACATGTCACATAATTTTTGTTGTATGTGAAGTAACAAACATTGTGTGTGAAGGAAACATAAGTAGATGTTACTTCCCCCAGAAAGGGCACACTGTTTATCAGGCAGTGTGTATAAGGGGCTGATCTCTTCTTAACTGGTAGTGGAGTTGCCTAACTAGGCTGGGTTACCACTCATTGGCTTCAGTTCACTCTGATTCTCAGTGTCAAAAGACTGCAGGAGGGCCGGCCCGGTGGCGCACTGGATAGTGCGCTGCTTGGGAAGCGCGGCGGCGCTCCCGCCCGAGGGTTCGGATCCCACATACGGACCGGTTCCCGCTCACTGGCTGAGCGAGGCGCGGGAGCAACGCCGAGGGTTGCGATCCCGTTGCCGGTCCCCGGTCCATAACGGGGGCAACACTGAGGGTTGCGATCCGTTGCCGGACACGGAAAAAGACAAAAGACAAAAAAAAAAGACTGCAGGAGAATTTACTCTGCCTTTTCACCTTTACCTCTGCTCCCAGCCACACCAGCCAAGCATTTCTGGTTGCTTTCAAGATTTTTTTCTTGCGTTGTCAGGAGTTTGACTGTACGTAACTTCTGTGTTTTTGTTTTTTGTTTTGTTTTTTCAATCCCACTTTGGGTCACAGAGGTTTGCTTTTCTTTTTTTAAAAATATGTGGGGTGGTGTTTTTCATTCATTTTGGAAAATTCTTAGCTATCATCTCTTCAGCTCTAGCTTGTGCCCCATTCTCTTTCTCCTCTCCTGGAATTTCACTCACACATATGTTAGACTGTTTGATGTGTCAAACGTCTTATGCTCTGTTCTGTTTTTCCACTCTTTACTGTTTTCTGGTTCACTAATGCTGTCTTCTTTTTTTTTTTTTTTTTTTAAAGATGACCGGTAAGGGGATCTTAACCCTTGACTTGGTGTTGTCAGCACCACACTCACCCAGTGAGCAAACCGGCCATCCCTATATGGGATCCGAACCCGTGGCCTTGGTGTTATCAGCACCACACTCTCCCGAGTGAGCCACAGGCCGGCCCACTAATGCTGTCTTCTGCTGTGTGCAGTCTACAGTTAGTCTTGTTAAGTGAGTTCTTAATTTTTCCATTCTAGAATGGCAGATGTAGATACGTGTATATTCCCACTCTTGGAATTCTTCATCTATTTTGTCCATCATTTCTTCTACTGTCTTGAATATATACATTTTCTGAAAACTCCCATTTCTGAAATACTAATGGGTCTGTTCCCATGTTCTTTTTTCTTTCTCTGTCGTCCTATCTTTAGAGCATGCTTTGTGATTTTGGGACGGGTGCTGAACACTGTGAATGACGAAGCATGGAGGCTTGTGCTGCTGTTGTCTTTCTCCAGAAGGTTACGTGTCACTTTTGTCAGAGAGCTAGGTCACGGCAGCTCCCTGGGATGCTGTTGAGGCTTTGCACTTGTGTCTCCTCTAGGGTGTTGCCCTTCCTCCTGGTGCAGGGCCCCCCTGATGTGCTACCGGGAGCCCAGAGTGTTCTGTGAGGCCTCTACCTCGGCAGAACCGCACCTCCAGTGCCTGCTCCCTGCACCCCACAGCTCTGGATCTGTTCAGCCCTTTGGCCCTGGCAGCTGCCTCCTGCTGGGTTTCTTGAAGTCTCGCCCTGTACACATGTGCTTGAGGAGACACCCCAGCATCGAGAGCAGCCGTGCAGATTCTCAGGGCCGCCTCCTCTCAGTTTCCTTTTCCCCAGGATTTTGTCCTTGTATCCCCGCCCCCCCCCCCCCCCCAAGCCCTGGGCCCTGCCCCCCCCCCCCCCCCAAGCCCTGGGCCCTGCCCCCCCCCCCCCCCCAAGCCCTGGGCCCTGCCCCCCCCCCCCCCCCAAGCCCTGGGCCCTGCCCCCCCCCCCCCCCCAAGCCCTGGGCCCTGCCCCCCCCCCCCCCCCAAGCCCTGGGCCCTGCCCCCCCCCCCCCCCCAAGCCCTGGGCCCTGCCCCCCCCCCCCCCCCAAGCCCTGGGCCCTGCCCCCCCCCCCCCCCCAAGCCCTGGGCCCTGCCCCCCCCCCCCCCCCAAGCCCTGGGCCCTGCCCCCCCCCCCCCCCCAAGCCCTGGGCCCTGCCCCCCCCCCCCCCCCCCCCAAACCCTGGGCCCTGTCTCCTCAACCAGTAGAGCTCCAGTTTCTACTTGGCTCCTTTCCCTGGTGCTAACTTTGGGAAAATGCCCTTGGGAAAAAAGCTGCCTCATACAGTGGACTTTCTTCTCTTGGCTCTGCCTGCAATGCCCATCTCTGGTGCCTCCAAGAAAGAAACGGTGTTCTCTGAGGCTCCTCTCACAGCCACAACAGGGACCCCATGCTTGATGGCTAAAGCAAAACACTCATCCTTTTGGCGTTCTGGAGGTCAGAGTCTGACACAGGCTTCACTGGGCAGAAGTCAAGGCATGCGGGCTCACTGGTTAGCTCAGTTGGTTAGAGCGCGGTGTTATAACAGTAAGCTCAAGGGTTCAGATCCCCGGACCAGCCAGCTGCCAGAAAAAAAAAAAAAGGAAAGAAAGGCGTGGGCAGGGCTGGTCCTTCCTGGAGACTCCAGGGAGGATCCGTGTCCTTTCTCAGTGTCCAGAGGCACCCGCAGCCCTTGGCGTGTCTGCAAAGCCAGCAGCGCAGCATCTTCCAGTCTCTCGGACTCTGACCCTCTTGCCTCCCTTATGAAGACCCTGTGAGGACACTGGGCCCCTCATAACCCAAGATGACCTCCTGTCTCAACATCCTTAATCCCATAAATTCAGCAGGTCTCTAGAAACAACCAGGCAGCTGACACTCTGGAAGGTGCTGGAAGGACCCATAGGGGCCACACCGAGGGCAGCCAGGACCTGCTCACGGTCCTTGCAGTGGGCACACTGCCCGCCCTCCCCAGTTGTCCCTACGCTGCACAGCAAGGAGGCAGGAGCAAGATATAGGAATGTGACGATGGTGGGGTAGGGGCCCCCAGCTCGCCCTAAGCACAGCCTGGGCTGTGGGTGCTTAGGAGGATGGACGCTGGGTCCCAGGTTGCCTCGCGTGGCCTCTGGAGTGAGGGCAGACCCCCAAGGGGTGAGGTTGGTGGCTCTTACAGTGGGGAGCAGTGCCCTGCGAGGAGGGCAGGAGCTGTCCGTGCACGGGGCCACGACCCAAAGCTGCCTGGGCTGCTGGCCCCAGCCCTGCCTGCTGCACACTCACTGCCCCAACGGGAGGATAGACAGCGCCCGGTGGGAAGAATGAGTCGGTGGCTCAGGGTGATGCATTTCTTTCCTTTATTTAAAAAAAACTATTTGGGGATGCGGTGTGAGGAGGGCACACCTTCCATGGCTTTGGGGAGGATGCAGGTTCCAGAAGGAGTCACTGGGCAGATACACACGGGCCGGTGAGGGCCAGGACTGCAGTATGTACAGGCAGGTGGGGCCCTCTGGAACCCACCTCGGGCCAGCTGGGGACCCACGGCATTGTCCCTCCAGGCACACGGGGTCTGAGGCCCCGCCCTGTCTGCGGGGCAGGAGGGGGCTGTCCCCAGGGGCTGGACAGCGACGACCTCGGCAGGTCCCACCGGTGGACGCGGGTGCAAACAGCACCTCGCTCCCGCCTGGGCCAGGGGTGGGCCTGGGGGGCGGCGCAGGAGCTCCGGCGCCCCTTGCATCCTGCTCCTGGGACTCGGGCCAGTGTCCCGGAGGTGGGGGCGCGGGGCTGACCGGGCCCCAGTGACCCCGATGAACGGACAAGAAGGAACACAAGACCCAAACCCATGGCTTCTAGGCGCTCCCCGCACACCGTCTCCCGCAGAGATGGGAATCCCAGATGCATTGCGACGTGCAGTTAAACAGAAACACAAGACGACACCCGACACGAACCTCCTCGTGGTCAGGCGACTTGGTCAGAGGGCCCTGAGTTGCAGGGACCCGGCAGACCCTTGCCCGGGCTGGCCGGGACAGGGCAGGACAGCGCCGCCCCCGCGTCCTGAGGGATTGTCTCCACGCTCGTGCCCGTCCCCAGGGACCCGGGGAGGTGGCGGGCACAGCCTAGGTGTAGAAGATGACCTCGGGGATCTGGCCGTCCTCCACCGACGTGCCATTGTTGTTCCCGGCCGCGTAGCAGAAGGTGAAACAGGTCTTGGCCCCCGTCGTGGGCGACTCGTGCGTCACCTTGCGCAGGCCTTTGGTGCCGTAGTGGGAGTCTGGGCCCTGCGGGGTGGGGGTGGGGACACCGTGAGGTCCGGACCCTCCGGGTCGGGTCCCCAGGGCGCTGGGCCGGGGGAGGGGCGC